AAATCAATTCCCTCCCCCACTTATATGAGGGGCATTTTTTAAGTAAGGTCTGTTTTGTTGTAGACACTAGTAGTTTGCGCACATACCGCAACGAGCACGTGCGTCGTGTACCGGCATGCCTCGGGAACAACTGTGCTCAGTTTCCGCTCTGTAGCTAACCTGTACGGTTCTGTTCTGTGCTTTAAAAATGTTTAAGACTATCAACTCACCCTCTGCATGTGAGGTTCTCTCAGTGATACGGTTTTTGTCAGCAAGGAACCTGCCTGCTGCAGAAATTCATCGACAGATTTGTGAAGTGTACGGTGATACTGTTATGAGTGAAAGCAAAGTGCGTAAGTGGGTACGACAATTCAAAGATGGCCGTGACAACGTCCATGATGAGGACCGCTCCGGTCGCCCTTCTTTGATTACAGATGATTTGGTGGCTTCAGTTGAAGCGAGGATTTGTGAGAACAGGCGCTTCACAATAACAGGTCTCTCAAACGAATTTCCTGATGTGTCGAGATCAGTGCTTTACAACATTGTTTCTGAACACCTAAAGTTTAGGAAACTGTGCTCCCATTGGGTCCACCTCAAACAACACCTCAGTGGCAACCGTTACAATGATGACGACGACGAGAAAACGGCAGTGAACTCTTGGTTATTGGAGCAGGCGGCAAGTTTTTATGAAGAGGGTATTTTAAAATTGGTTCAGAGGTATGTAAGTGTTTGAACAAACTTAGCAACTATGTCGAAAAATAGAGTAAAGTATGTACTTTCTGAAAATAAATTTACTTTTTTGAAATAAACTTTCGTTGTGTACTTATGTTCAAATGGACCTTACTTTAAAAACACCCCTCGTATATTATGAAACAAAGAGAATCATACAGTTGGGCCATCCAATCCAACCCCATTCTGCCAAGAGGCAGGAAAATAGCATTCAATGCCAGAAGACATTCAGTAGTAAACATTTAAACTCGCCTTTTGTAGCAAACCAGAGGATAAAGCTACAAAATGCATGTAAAGAATTCGGCAAAAACTTTATAAAGTAAGCTGTGCAGAATCCTTCAAACCACGAGAGTCCAGATGAAAAAGAGAATGAGAGAAAGGTGTGGGAAGGAAGGAAGGAAGGAAGGAAGGAAGGAAGGAAGGAAGGAAGGAAGGAAGGAAGGAAGGAAGGAAGGAAGGAAGGAAGGGGAAATTGTACATAAAGCATATTTATGTTGCCTTTCCAATCTCAATGAAGTTCCCAAAGCAGTAAACAACAATAACATGTAAATATTTAAAATGAACATCTTGTGCCACCCTCAAACAGATAAACTAAAACAATCTACTCAAAAGCTAAAAAGAGCCTAGGCAGATAGTTAGAAGCCGGCCTGATATGGTTATTTTGAGTGTTGGACTAGAACTCCAAGAGAGCAGCGTTAGAAGGCCTGCTCAGCCATGGACATCTGTTTGGGCAAGTTGCACCAGGTGCATCTACACTGTAAAATGGACACAGTTTGACACCACTTTGAATGGTCATGGCTCTATACTCTGGTGCAGTTTACAATGAGGAAGTTCTTCCTAATGTTTAGATGGAATCTCTTTTCCTGCAATTTGAATCCCTTGGTTCTTGGGCCGGTTAATGGGCTGGCAATGCTGCCAACTCATTGGCAAGCAGGCACTCAGCACCGTCAGCAGCTGGCTGGAGTTGCCCAGGCAGGGTTTGCACTCCAGTTAGTGATCCGATATGAAGGTGATACAGTCTGACATTCCAGCCAGGTGCATCATGCCATCCCTGGTAGATCCGGCACTTGGACATATCTGTGGGCTGATCAATCAACAGGTGGTTTTTGTTGATGCCTGATTCAGATATCCCTCATCTACAGTTGTAGGTGTGGCTTTTTATCACCAAGCTATTGTGTGTGTATCATAGAATCATAGAATCAAAGAGTTGGAAGAGACCTCATGGACCATCTAGTCCAACCCCCTGCCAAGAAGCAGGAATATTGCATTCAAATCACCCCTGACAGATGACCATCCAGCCTCTGTTTAAAAGCTTCCAAAGAAGGAGCCTCCACCACACTCTGGGGCAGAGAGTTCCACTGCTGAACGGCTCTCACAGTCAGGAAGTTCTTCCTCATGTTCAGATGGAATCTCCTTTCTTGTAGTTTGAAGCCATTGTTCCATGTCCTAGTCTCCAGGAAGCAGAAAACAAGCTTGCTCCCTCCTCCCTGTGGCTTCCTCTCACATATTTATACATGGCTATCATATCTCTTCTCATTTAAACATGCCCAGCTCCTTAAGCCGCTCCTCATAGGGCTTGTTCTCCAGACCCTTGATCATTTTAGTCGCCCTCCTCTGGACAAATTCCAGCTTGTCAATATCTCTCTTGAATTGTGGTGCCCAGAATTGGACACAATATTCCAGCTGTGGTCTAACCAAAGCAGAATAGAGGGGTTGCATGACTCCCCTAGATCTAGACACTATGCTCCTATTGATGCAGGCCAAAATCCCATTGGCTTTTTTTGCCGCCACATCACATGGTTGGCTCATGTTTAACTTGTTGTCCACGAGGACTCCAAGATCTTTTTCACACGTACTACTCTCAAGTCAGGCGTTCCCCATTCTGTATCTTTGCATTTCGTTTTTTCTGCCAACGTGGAGTATCTTGCGTTTGTCCCCGTTGAACTTCATTTTGTTAGTTTTGGCCCATCTCTCTAATCTATCAAGATTGTTTTTAATTCTGCTCCTGTCCTCTGGAGTATTGGCTATCCCTCCCAATTTGGTGTCGTCTGCAAACTTGATTAGTTTGAGTGCATTTCACAGTTGGACACATAATCTCCTGCCTGGAGGTGACCCACACAAGCTGGAGACTTGGGGCCAGGCCTTGAGATCTGGCAACTCTACTCCTGAGAAAAGCCATGAATGGAACAGTAATCACCTACTTCTGTTTCTTGCAGCCGTTATTCATACAATAACAAGGAGCAGGGCCACTGACTAGCAGCCTCTGATATCCGTAAGCTCTGTGAATTTGTCTACATCCCTTTCACAACATTTTTCATGGCAACTACAGCCTGCACCAGTAAATTCCAAACTCCTGCGTCTGCCACAATCCTCCAAAGCTACTATCAGTGTGAAGCAGCTGTGTAAGCCATCACAAATACTACTCCTAATGCACAAACCAACCCCTTGCATTGCACTTCAGAACAAGCCATTTCCTATGCACCTAACTACGGCCATCCTGGGTATAGTTATGTTTTCTTTTTGACCAGCGGAAGATACATAAATATCTTGTTGCAACATTGAAAGACTTCATCTCTCATATGGGGATGGGCATGAGAACGAAGAATGAAGGCTAAAATGATGCAGCCAGGGCACATGTTTTAGGAAGATGAGAACATTCAGAGACAGCATTTACTTAAGACCATTCCCATCTAGATGTATTCATGTAGCCTTCAGCACACTGTTCAACATTACAATGGTTTCCTGACCCTGGAAATATACATACTATTTTTGGGTGCAAAAACCATTATAACAAAGGTATATTGGTACGTTAAAATGCTGCAGCTATGCTCCAAAAGCAAACAAGAGCAAGGGAGCGAAGAGTTATATTATTCTGTACTTTTTAATGTTAGATCAGTGTTTCTTAACCTGGAGTTTGGGACCCCTGGGGTGGGGGGGGGGGAGGGTCGCCAGAGATCATCAGAAAACCCAGTATTTTCTGTTGGTCATGGGGGTTTTGTGTGGGAAGTTTGGCCCAATTCTATTGCTGGTGGGGTTCAAGGGGTTCTTTTGATTGTAAATGAGCTATAAATCCCAGCAACTCCAAATCCCAAGTGACAATATCAATCATCCCACAACCCCACCAGTATTCAATTTGGGCGTATCGGGTATTTGTGCCAAATTTGGTCCAGTGAATGAAAATACATCCTGCATACATATTTACATAACAGTAGCAAAATCACAGTTATAAAGTAGCAACAAAAATAATGTTATCATTGGGGGTCACCACAACATGAGGAACTGTATTAAGGGGTCATGGCATTAGGGAGGTTTTATTTATTTATTTATTTATTTATTTATTATTCGAACTTATATGCCACCACTCCCTTGGGGCTCGAAACTTATATGCCACCACTCCCCTGGGGCTCGGAGCGGCTTACAAGAACAGGCTCAAAACAACAACAATTTAAAAACAGCAATATCAAAAATCAAAGGCCTGTCGAAACAGATATGTCTTACATGCCCTGCGGAAAGCTGATAAGTCCCGCAAGGCACGGACTTCAGGTGGCAGAGTATTCCAGAGTGATGGTGCCACTGCTGTAAAGGCTCTGCGTCTGGTTGCTGTTAGACGCAAGGTCTTGACACTGGGAATTTCCAATAGATCTTGGTCCTCAGAACGGAGGGATCTCTGGGGTTGGTAGGGGGTGAGGCGGTCCCTCAGGTACATCGGCCCCAGACCATGCAAGGCCTTAAAGGTGAGTACCATCACTTTGAAAGTGATCCGGTGCTCAATTGCAGCTGCAGTAAGATTGGTGTTATGTGGCATCTCATCGGAATTCCCGCAAGAAGCCGAGCAGCTGCATTTTGTACCAACTTGAGCTTCCGGATCACCGACAGAGGAAGGCCAATGTAGAGGGTGTTACAGTAGTCCAGTCTTGAGATGACCGCAGCCTGGATCACCGTAGCTAGGTCGTCCCTGGACAGGGAGGGAGGGGGCCAGCCGTCTAGCCTGCCGCAGATGAAAAAAGGTGTTCTGCTCATGGCGGAGACCTGGGCCTCCATCGTCAGCAGAGGGTCCTAAAGGACCCCCAGACTCTTTACCAATGATGACGGGCGTAGCATCTCGCCATCCAGGGTAGGCAGCTGGATAGAAACACTGTGTTAGATACTTAAAATCAATGAGCACACACCCTTCATTTTTTCAGGCTTCTCCAGCTCATGAAATACTTCAGTTTAGGGAAATGGTTGGCATTCCTTTTTTTAAAAAGCACTTTTGATCAGGCTGTAAAGCTCAAGACTGAAAGAAGACCTACCTGGATGCTTTGTTCCGAAGAGGATGTTCCGGCTGCTCCCGAAGTGTGAGCAGGAATGCCACCACCACCTTCTCTCTCAGTGGTGAGCACCTCACCTGTTCGTGCTTCCCAACTCTTGAGCAACCCACCCACAAAAAGTTGCCATTCAGGATCTCCGACTAAGGGCGATCCGTGGCTTTTGCCAAGTGTTACGCTGCAACCCTGATGGAAGAAAGCTGGTTATCTTTGCACTGCTTGTTCCAGCATTGTAAAGTGAAGAAAGATTCAATGTTTTATGGCACATTTAATCAGGAGAGGGAAACACTGCAGTGACAGGAGGAGATTCTTCAGGTGAAAGTTGAGTTTCTTACAAGCCCGTATTAGAAGAGGTCAGGCTTAGTAAAGTCTGGAAGAAACTCAGCTTCCACTTGAGGAATTCCCTGAAGAATCCATAGGCCAGGCATCCTTTCTGCAGTCAATATATTTGCTTTTTTATAATGCCCGCTTTTGCCTATTTTAAGAGGAATGTAATGATATGGCACAAGTTTAAAATCCTGTAAAATTGTAAACATCTCAGAGTACATAGAATAATCAGCATTTCAGCCTGCCAGAAGAGATGGGTCTTTACGTACCCAGAAGGTGTTGCTGGGGGACTCCTGCTCGGCTCCACAGCCATTGTCCTGTGGGGTCCCGCAGGGCTCAGTATTGTCCCCTATGTTGTTTAACAACTACATGAAGCCCCTGGGTGAGATCATCCAGAGTTTTGGAGTTCGATGCCATCTGTCCAACTCTATCACTCATTTCCACCAGATGCTAAGGAGGCTATCCAAGTCCTGAACCGGTGCCTGGCCGCTGTGACGGTCTGGATGAGGGCGAGCAAATTGAAGTTGAATCCAGAGAAGACAGAGGTCCTCCTGGTCAGTCGCAAGGCCAAACAGGGTATAGGGTCGCAACCTGTACTGGACGGGGTCACACTCCCCTTGAAGGCACAGGTTTGCAGCTTGGGAGTTCTCCTGGATTCATCACTGAGCCTGGAATCCCAGGTTGCAGCGGTGGCCAGGGGAGCGTTCGCACAATTAAAACTTGTGCGCCAGCTGCGCCCGTACCTTGGGAAGTCAGACTTGGCCACGGTGGTCCACGCTCTCGTTACATCTAGAATAGACTACTGCAATGCACTCTATGTGGGGTTGCCTTTGAAGACTGCTCGGAAGCTTCAAATAGTCCAACGAGAGGCAGCCAGGTTAATAACTGGGGCGGCATACAGGGAGCATACAACTCCCATGTTACGCCAGCTCCACTGGCTGCCAGTTTGCTACCGGGCACAATTCAAAGTGCTGGCTTTGGCCTATAAAGCCCTAAATGGCCCCGGCCCAAATTACCTGTCCCAACGCATCTCCCTCTATGTACCATCGCGGAGATTAAGATCCTCCAGGGAGGTCCTGCTTTCCGTCGCGCCATTGTCACAGGCGCGATTGGGGGGGACAAGAGACAGGGCCTTCTCGGTGATTGCTCCCCGGCTATGGAACTCCCTTCCTGGTGAGATCAGGTCAGCCCCCTCCCTCCTGTCCTTTAGAAGGATGGTAAAAACTTGGCTGTGGGACCAAGCTTTCGGGACAGGGCAATGAAGCGACAATGGGAAAGATGACAGGGCCAATTGGATTTGATGCGGATGGCTAGGACGGTTTTAAATTGTGTTATTTTAAATGGTGTATTTTAATATTTAGATAAATGTTTTTAATGTTTATGTATTGTACCCAGGCATTGAATGTTTGCCATGTATATGTTGTGCTCCGCTCTTTCGGGGTGAGAAGGGCGGAATATAAGTGTTTTAAATAAATAAATTAAATAAATTAAATGGTCTCCTAACCAGAGCTTTCATTTACTCTCTGTTGCACATAAAAGTTGAGGATAAGGCCATTGTCTTTCTTCTTTAGGCAAAAACCCTACCTACGTCTGTTTCTACTTCTTGTACAGAAGCATTATACAAATGCTTCTACGCAAGAAGCTCCTTCTTTGGAGGCTTTGAAGCAGAGGCTGGATGGCCATCTGTTGGAGTGCTTTGAATGCAATTTCCCTGCTTCTTGGCAGAACAGGGTTGGACTGGATGATGGCCCACAAGGTCTCTTCCAACTCTAGGATTCTATGAAAAAGAACAAGGTCATCTGGAAAGCTACAACTCGGATTTGGAACATGGGGTTGTTCTTATCGTCTCCCCCCCCCCCCCCAATTAAGAAATCTTTCATATTATAGCACCCACCCAATGTTTTAGATTACAAGGTTCTTGTAGGTTTTTTCGGGCTATAGGGCCATGTTCTAGAGGCATTTCTCCTGACATTTTGCCTGCATCTATGGCAAGCATCCTCAGAGGTAGTGAGGACCACTCCAACAACCACCATGTCAGACTACACAGAGAAGCCACTGAAATCCACAAGCATGTGGACAATTTCAACAGAAAGGAAGAGACCATGAAAATGAACAAAATCTGGCTACCAGTATTAAAAAACTCTAAAATTACAACAGCAAAACAGCAGAGAGGAAACAACCAGGCACATCTTAACACCTCTCAACAAAAGATTTCCCAGGCTCAGGCAGGCCTTCAAATGCTAATGAAGGTGGTCAGTTGAAACATTCACACCTAGCTCCAGCAGAGAAGAGCTCTTTGCCCCACCCCAGCCATTCCACAGATATATAAACCCTTTGTCCTAGTTCCAACAGACCTCACTACCTCTGAGGATGCTTGCCATAGATGCAGGCGAAACGTCAGGAGAAATGCCTCTAGAACATGGCCCTATAGCCTGAAAAAACCCACAAGAACCTAATCATGGCTTCCTGATCTATTTTCTTTTGAGACTGCTATCCCATTCCTGTTTGCCGAATGTTAGCCGGAGCCTAGAATTAGGATGCCTTCGGCAGACCGGAAAGACATAATGAGGCCTTCAGGTATTAGGTGCAGCCTTAGCCTATTATTGAGGATGCTTGCCATAGATGCAGGCAAAACATCAGGAGAAATGCCTCTAGAACATGGCCCTATAGCCCGAAAAAAACCTAGTGATTCCAGCCATGAAAGCCTTCGACAATACATTTTTAGATTACAGTTCCCATCATCCTACCCAATTGCCATTCTGAATGAATTGATGGGAATAAGCCACATTGTTCCAGGTTGGTGGCAGCTGTATTGCAGGCCTGGGAGTGTCTAATCTTGAGCCCCATCAGACACAAAAGTATCTGCCGAACCCATTTGTTGCGCAACAGTGAGAACTGGGGAGGCCGTATGAGTGAACTTGATTACACAAGATACACTATAAATCTAGACAAGATTATGAGGTAAGTCTAAAAGAGTCTGGAATTTGGGGGTGTTTCTAGAAATCTACAGCTACAAATCATTCCCAAATCTATAGTACATCAATTCACTAAGGCCAGGTGAAAATATGTTCATCAGCCATGGTTGAACCATCCAGGCGGAGAGGGGGCACAAGAAGGCCAATGAAGACTTCAAGTTTGGGCATATTAAGGTTTCGCTAGGAAAAATAATAGTGCCATGCTTAAATTGGTACATTAAACATATTTCCACCAAACAAGTCATGCTGATTATGATTTTTTTAAAAAGATGGCATTAGAGCAGTGTTTCTCAACCTGGGGGTCGGGACCCCTGGGGGGGTGGTCACAAAGGGGTGTCAGAGGGGTCCGCCAAAGACCATCAGAAAACACAGTATTTTCTGTTGGTCATGGGGTTCTGTGTGGGAAGTTTGGCCCAATTCTATCATTGGTGGGGGTCAGAACGCTCCTTGATTATAGGTGAACTATAAATCCCAGCAACTACAACTCCCAAATGTCTATTTTCCCCAAACCCCATCAGTGTTCACATTTGGGCATACTGAGTATCCGTGCCAAGTTTGGTCCAAATCCCTCATTGTTTGAGCTCACAGTGCTCTCTGGTTGTAGGCAAACTACAACTCCCAAACTCAAGGTCTATGCCCACCAAACCCTTCCAGTATTTTCTGTTGGTCATGGAAGTTCTGTGTGCCAAGTTTGGTTCAATTCCATTGTTGGTGGGGTTCAGAATGCTCTTTGTTTACATGTTAACTATAAATCCCAGCAACTACAACTCCCAAATGACAAAATCAATCCCCTTGCCAACCCCACCAGTATTCACATTTGGGCATACCGGGTATTTGTGCCAAATTTGCTCCAGTGAATGAAAATACATCCTGCAGATCATTATTTACATGGCAATTCATAATGTTAGGGTTATGGTTGGGGTCACCATAACATGAAGAACTGTATTAAGGGGTCGCGGCATTAGGAAGGTTGAGAACCACTGCATTAGAGATAGATAGGTTCGACTCGGATGTTGCGTAACTCATAATAAAGTCGGATAAATTACCTTTCCGAAGGGATATCCGACGTAATTTTTGATCCCAGAAGTCCACTGCAGTTTTGAAGCACTTTGCGCCATTTTTGTTCCGACTCAGGAAGCGAATCAGAAGTGATGAAGCCTTTTTAATTCACTTTAGCCTGCTGGGAGGAAAGCAGCTTGCATACTGGGAGGCGAAGCCTAAGATGCTTGCCTCCCATCCAATCGGGATATGTTTTGGAGAGGGGAGGGGTTTTGGCAGCCACTGCTCTATATAAAGGGAAGCACGAGGCTACGAGGCTCATTCCAAACCTGGGAAGGGAAAGGGAAAGGGATAGGGGAAGAGGATGGGAAGGGGGAAGGGGAAGGGAAAGGGGAAGGGAGGTTGTGTTGTTGCTGTTGGTGTGGGCCCGGGGTAGAAAAAGAGCAGGGCAATCAGAGAAGACGAAAGGCAGGGAGAAGGGCTGTTGCCTGCCTGGCTGCTTGCCTTGCTACTTATGCATTAGGGTGGGCGCCGCATGGTATAGGGGTGTGTGAGTGCAAAGAAGCATGGAGGAAGGAAAGGAAAAAGGAGGGTTTCTTTGTATTCTTTGTTTCTTTGTTGTGAAAAGCCTCAGGGTTGCATCAGGTCTCTCTGGGTTCTGTGTCTGTTTGTGTAATTGTTGTACATTGCCACAAAAGAATTCCAACGCCCATCACTTCAAGCCAGTCTTGGACCCCACAATCTCCTTTCCAAAGTTGTGAAAACTAGCCACTAGGCTTAGGCGGTTTCGTTCGTTAATTTCGTAATTCATTATTAATTCGTATTTAAATTAGCTTACGATCCAATATTGAGCCATGCAGGAATAGTGTGAGGAGTAATTAAGATTCGAAACAATTTTTTCAATTTATTTCGTAATTATTTCGTAATTATTGTCTGGTGCAAGTTTTATAGTTGTTGTTTGTTTTATCACACCAACAGTCAACAACAGAGGGAGAGGGAAGCTTCAGAAGTTCC